AAATTAACTGGAAGAGGATGGAAAAACCAGAACGATGAGAGAAGTTGGAAAAAAAAACGTAGGAATCCCTTAGCCTGGGAACATGAATTCTAGGAGGTATCCAATGGTGCGGATCTACCATTTTTATTAACTCACAAAAAAATCATGCTATAATTAAAACTTTCCATCCATTGACAGAGTGAAGAATTCAATACAGGAAGGCACAAGCCCCGCTGCCCCTCGCCAGGCGGGCATGGCAGAAGAGGCATTTGGAGCCTCTCCCTTCTAATGAAAACCCCGAGAAGAATTTGGGTCCAGTGCAAGATTAAAAGCTGCTTTTTGCAAGTGGAGAGAGTCCACGGAGAACAGTCGTGTGTTCGTGGGCTCATTTTAAAAGGGCCTAAGAGTGGGAAGTGCTGATTTCACATGAGCAGCGGAGGTGAAAGACCACACGGTGGCTGTTACCAACGCCCCAAGCCATCAGCCGACGATTGAAGGGATGCAGAACTAGAACAAAGACTAGTGTTTTACCATTAGTTATTGAAAAAAATATGAAGTACAGTGCTATGCCTGAGTAGATAAAAAAAGAATGATCTACTTGTAACATTTAGCAGGAGCTTCAGGGGAATATTTTTACACACCATGGATACTACTGAACATAAACTAATTTACCGAGGTACTTGGAATCAGGTCAAGAACAACTCCTCAGCTACTGAGGATATGCTTACATTTATAATCCCTGTAGTGGAGGACCAAAATACAATTTTATAAACTCCTATTGTTAAAAGAAACAATTTAAAGAAATGAAATCAACATAAAAGTGACCTTTGACAAGCTGAATTTCAAAATTGTGTTTGAAATTCATAGCTCCTGTCAAAATGAAAACTCTGTAGAGACTAATCAGTGACGTGTCAGTGTTACTACTGAGTTAAAAACCAAATGAAAAAATCCAACTTGCACAAATTTCTTCTTAATGCGGAAGAAATTGGATCACACAATCTTAAAATATACCCACTTTCAAAATTCTCAGTATTTTCCTTTAATACAACTTTTTGCCCTGCATTCACAGCAACGTCACTTATGAAAATTATAAACTCTCTGAGCCTCAGGGGCGATACAAAATTCCGACAGGAATCAGAAAAGGAATTTTAAAGGCACTGGGCGAAAGCACTAGGTAGGAAATCAGGGCTTTAATTTAGCTGAGAATGTGAGCATTTCATTACCCGCTGACTCCTCAGGATGGAAACAAAGGAGCTGGAAGGAAAAAGCCTGTGAAGGGGGAACACAAAGCCAGTTAAAAAAACCAAACTGGGATGGTGTGAGGGAGGATAACATCGCCGTGGCTGGGAATCCCACGGGCAGGATGCAGCAGAGCTCTGCGCGCAGCTCATCGCCTCCCTCGCTCCCTCCTGGATGCGGGAGCATGTCAGGACAGGCAGCTTCCCTTTCAGCTCTCCTCCTTAATTGCTTTTACAGTAGAAGCTATAATACAAAAATGATTTCCTTATGGCTGAGCTTCATTTAAAGCAGGGCTCGTTCTAGATTTTAAGTCCAATAAGCGCTATGTATAATAATACAAATAAATCACGTTGTAACGTGCGTGAATTAGATGAAGATGAAAAAAAGACTTTGGTGAGATTAAACAAAGGTTGTGAAAATGTATCACGTTTATAGGGAAAAAGGGTTTTTTGCCTTTTCCCCTTTCCTATTTTTATTATTCACCACTGCCCCATAAAGATGGTTTTGAATGTATGCTTTCCAGGCACTCGGAATGCTGGGGCAGTAGAAAGAAGTGGCCATATATAGAAAACGAAAGGAAAACATGAATCATAAAGATGAGAGGGATCTTCAAAAACTGATTTTTTTTTTTTTTTTTTTTTGCCTTGTTTGCTTTGACAAGCAGTCGCTTGTGTTTCTATTGCCTGGCACACTGGTTTTGCTGAAACCAAGACAACTATCAGTAGGCATATGGAGGGGTCTAAAGTAAACAACTAAACCAAATAAAAACATAACAAATTTAATTTTATCACAACTAATATGCATAGCAGAGAGCTGTTTCCTTAGCTGGTATCAGCCACCTGAACAGCAGCTCTGAGGGCAGCATGTTAGGGACGTTCCTCTTCACCTTCTCACAACAGAAGCATCAAACCCTTCAGTTTGTATTTTAACTAAGTCGAGTTTGCACCTTCATCACCCCACAGGACGGAGCACAAATTCCTGCAAATCCATTTTTACTGTTTTTCCTCTTCAGTTTCATTTAAAAATATGTGAGCACAGAAAATTCCCCAGGTAAAAATTTTTAGCTGATAGGTATGAAGAACATGAATGTGGGTTGTACGCATTTGAAAGGAGAGTTGGCTTAATGCAGTTTACTCTGAGAATCAACCAACGTCTAGGTGTTTTGTCACTAATTACAGTTGCACTGTCTAAAGTCTCATTTCTGTGAACTTAATAAAGTGTACTAAACAGAAATGCTTTGCCAAAGTCAGATGCATAGGTTTGCTTTTGAAAAGCCCCCCCAATACTTACCAATAACCAAGCGGAAAATTAATTTTGTTTTTTTACAACCTCAAAAACATGAAAAACCACACAAAATTAAATCTGATTGTCACGAATTAGCACCACTGTTACAGCTACTAGCATACTGTAGATTATTAATATTACTTCAAGCTGTGTATAAAAACCATACATGAAAAACTGTTTCTCAAGAAATTTCTTTCTGCTTCTCATCATTAAATTTTATTTAATGTACTCTAAGCACAAACTTCTGTGAAACACTATTGTGTGGAAAGTAAACTGTAAAACAAAACACAATATATATTATATGATGCGCAAGTAATAGAGTTTCCTGATACTAATGCTAAAAAAAAAACAACAACCAACACTAAAAAGCAGCTTTAGTCAAACTGAGAAAGAAAAGTGAAAAATTCACCTTTAAAAGAATACTCATGTATTTTTAAGTAGGATCACATTCTCATACATGTGCATGAAGAATATATTGAAGAAAAAGGCCTACCGTTTTCCTCATCTGACTTGTTCTCGTTGTCGGAGTCGGTCAGCGTGAGCGCTGAGTTTTCACGACTTGACAGCCCGGAACTTCTCCTGGACTTGATCCCTCTTCCCCACAGCCGGATGGCGTGCTCCGGGGACATCCCGCCCTCCGTGTCCGAGTCAGCGTCGGAGCCCGTGCTCAAGGAATAGCCTTGATGGAGTATTCCTATGTCTGAGCAGTAGCCGCTTCGATGGGGAGAGGGCTCACAGATTCCTAGTTCTGCAAGGGTGAAGTTTGTTCCTAGAGGGCAATAAAAAAAAAAATAAATTATATAATTTAAAAGCTGGGGGATTTATTTTAAGTTTGAAAATAACAGACCTTTCTAATTTGTCTTAATTACGCTGTATGCCGAGCCTTCGTAATGAATTACATACAGAGATCTCTGGTGCACAGCTCCAGTAAGACTAAACTAAAACATACTGAATATAGTTAACACGGATGAAATACACAAAACAAAGGTAGGAAAGGCCTCTAAATTTTAGGTTACTGTTTTCTAGGATCAGAGCATGAGCTCTGTTGAGCATTTGACTACTCAAAAAGATTAAGTTTTTCTTATGAAGCAAATTTTCTCATACAGCAGTCTTCCATACAGACAGGATATTTAATTCTACGGTTCCCTATTTCATAGAAAATAAACACTTATTTGGGAAAACAGTTTACAGATCAGGATCACTTGTAAGAATGCAAATCTATCAGGTGTGTCACATGAAACCTTGTCACCAGTTTTGCACTTTACATTTGGTGAGGTTGGTAGTTTAATATCTGCTATAGAAATCGAGACAGACCTTAATCATTGTCATTGCTTTCTACCTTTTTTCACCATATTCGAGTAGAAAGTGAGCATCAACATGAAATCAGGAGGTCACTGCGTTTAGAGGCAAAATTTTCAGGAACAATGTCAAAACATGTGACCTTTAGCAGTTAATAACGACTCAGTGGACAAAGTCTCATACATTTTTAAAGCACATGGAGTCCCCCAGGGTTCTCAGAAAGTATAGACTTGCTGGCTGATTTCTGCTTATGTATTTGTTTCCTACAGTAATGAACAGCGTGATAAAAAAAAAGTATAGGGAAATATTCACTGGTCTCTAAGGCTTTCATAGGTTTTGAAAAGCAAAGTGATTTTAGCTTCCTTACATTGTGTTAAAAATAAAGAACAAAGACAGGCTGAAGTCACTGGCAGTGTAACTGCCAATTATTTAATTAATTTCTTAATTCAGAGGGAAGCTAGATCTATGGTCTGTGTTTCTCAAATGGTAGTTTTGTCCAAAAGCAGTTTCTATTTTCTCCTCTTCCTCCACACATTCATCAGAATTAAGCTATACAGCAGAAGATCATGCACGAAGTAAAAAATACACTTAAGTGTCTTTATTATTAAAAGACATTAACTGGATTTATTATTTTTTTTTTTTAAGTATTACAACTTCTTTCATAGGTTAGCCAAGAAAGATGATACAGTATTAAATCAATCTGGTTCATGTACCTGTATCCGCTCTCTCCAGTCTCACACCTAGCTGTTACAGTATTTTTTGGATCTGGGATGTATGCATGCATCTACAGAAAGTAACACTGGGCCCTACTTAACATTTATCTCCAGAGCTCATCAAAGGAAGGTGACTGATTTCTTCACCCAGCAGCGGCTGGGGAGCACCACCGAGCACGAGAGGAGACCGGCTCCTTCACCCTTGGGATACCCAGCGCACAGCACGCCTGGCCAACTACAGCAGGGACAGAAGTACCCCTGACTGGATGCTTTTAATTAAATGAAGCATTTAGTGACAATGCTCAAAAAGAACATAAAAACGCTGACATTAAAAAAAGTCAGCTCTCTCATCAATACCAAATAAACCCAAACCCTCCTGGTTAGGAGCGTGTTTTAACCTGCCTTCTAATATTTATTCCAGTAATCAGAAATTTTGTGGTTCAGTCAAAAGCAATGAGCTGAACAGTCCTAAACATGAGCATCTCAAGTGCACTTCAGTCAAGAGATTTTTTTGCCCTTTTTTTTTTTTTAAATAAGTAAAGAGCTCTGGCACGACAGATGAAACAGTTACTTTTAATGAAAATATAAATTTTAATCATGTGCAATTTCAATAGAAAACATTTAAGAAAACCAGCTTGATTGATTAGAGTTTTGTTTTGGCCGTATTAGCCAATTATCCTTAGACTCATGAAAAAAAATGTCAAAATCAACCCAAAACATAAAATAGATATAGAAAATAGAGTGAACTGAAGCTTACTAGTCCCACACTTTCTGATCTACACAGGTAGAGTGCATGCTGACATTAGACACATGTTAAAATTACCAAACTCATCATGCAAGTGAAGTTTTTCAAGTTTTCTTGTTTGCTGGTGACATAAATGTCTACAAAGACACACCAATTATGAATATATTAGCTTAATTAAGCTGGTTTACATACAGAGTAAAACATTTTAATGATATTCCGTGGATTTTAACAGCCATTACAAGCCCAGATGATTTTACTCTGATTAGCATCCTGTATTGATGTCAAAATCTGACTATAATATCTGATGCAAAAAGAAATCCTCAGAGAAATTTGTATTTATTTGTCCATTTATACCATTTATTTGAAGAAAATGGCAAAGACACTGAAAGTGGAAGGAAAATAATAGTATTCACAGAATTCATTCATCTATTTGAGTTTTATTATCTGGGAACCTGGCTTCTTCCAGAAATGTGGAGAAAAAGATTTGAAAACTGACCAAATTAAAAAATTTGAGAAATGGATCAGATCAACTCAAGAACAAATGGGAATGGATCTTCTATGCTGCTTCTCAGAAATCTCCTTACAGTCTTACTACAGAAAATCTCAAGCATTCTCATAATGGACATGAAATATTCTAGAGATTTCCCTCTCCAGCAGAAACATGTTCTTGTCTGGTAGACTCTAAATTACTTTTATTTATTAATTTTCAGTGTTTGCTTCTGCAAAATATCATTTGAGAGTCTTCTTTAGGCCAGCATACAATGGTAAAGTAACTTGTCCTTGGATAACCATGGATAACCACATAATAATATATTTTGGAGACGTTTCTCACCTCTATATACATAAATAGATTTTATACATACGTAGGTATATAAAAGCATTTTTCACATACATATTTTATATTTAAATATATAAAAATGTATCTCTATCTTCATTGCCCTTAATTTACTGCAAAAACTGACGAAAAGGAGATATAAACACTATAGTTATGTTCGAAATGTATCTCTATATATTATACTTCCTGATATCTTCATTGCCCTTAATTTACTGCAAAAACTGACGAAAAGGAGATATAAACACTATAGTTATGTTCTCTAGACATTTTCTTGATCTGGATTGTATTCTCCGACAGGCCTTGTTTCCCTGAAATGAAACTGTCCACATCTCTTGAATAACATATGAACTACTTTCACTAATATAATATCCTCTTATTTGCTCAGCCATTATTGCGCATTAAAGCATTAATGGCATTAGTAGACCACCCTTGTAAATTCACATAGAGGATTTACAAGGTTCTGGATGCACAGAAATCATTTATCAAATAATCCATAGCAGAAAGAACCCTACTTCTACTTTGCAAATAAAGCATAGGCTCACAAATAATGAGAAAATACCTAACTCAATTCATAGCCACTCACACTGGCAAAATACTCCACATGGGATCCCGGTGACAGAAAGGTCACCAAGAACAATGCAGCGTTCCTCGCCCCCACTGCCAGTAGAAATTACAGCACCTACCAGCTGCAGCAAAGAAACGGAGACCCAGCATGGCCCGGGGTTAAGATTTAGTGTCTCCTTCAAGAAGTAACTTCCTAAAAGCTCTTTAGGTGATTAGGAGATCAAGCAAGTCAAGACCTCCTAGAAGCAAAGTGAAGGAAGGAGGGCAGCAGTACCTATTGCTTGCCATGCCCTGGGAATTCAAATTGTACTGCTGTGTATTCACAGAGAGCAATCTGGCCCCTGAGTTAAAATGCAGTCCTAGCACTAGCAGTCAAGGCAGATGGATGGCTTTGTACAGTGTTACACAGCACACTCTATCTCTAGGGCTTGCACGGAGTTGAAAGTAACTGCATTTTTCTGAAACTTCACTTGCAAAGTAGGACTGAAATGTGCCGGCAGAATCTATTCTTGCACATTCAAAACTTAAGGGTGCTTTCTTTCAGCTTCTCGTAGCATCTCCTACATCGCTGGTGACACTAAGTGAAAAGAGATAAATAATATCAGATCCTTATTGGTGGAAAAGAAAGAAACCTCTTTCTCTCGAAGAACACATCACACACAAAAAAAAGTTACAAGGTTTTTTTGCTTTTTCAGATGCAACAGAGCTTACCAGTCTCCATCCCCATCGCTTCATTTCCACCTGCAGAAATCACCAGACCATTCTCATTAAAGGAAATAAGTTAATACCAGCTGCTCCCTTAAGGTGCACGTAATCTCTCATACAAAAATAGACCAGTAGTATACTAGTTTAGAAGCATAATATAATGTTATGTACTCGATCATCATTGCCCACAAACTACATGCTGTGAATAGTCTCTCAATAGAATAGAAAAGATGTTTTCCTTTTAATTAGCACATTACTTCTATTATCTTCTGAGCACTCTTCCTTTTACAGAAATTTACTACTTAAGTTATTTAGTATATAAATACTTACTAAAAGTGTGTTTAATTCAACGATGTACAGTTCTACTCATTATCTCAGCAAATACTAGAAAGCATTACCATATAAGCAAGGTTATTTTCACCTAACCTCTAGGCAGAGGTCTCATTTGGGTAATTACAAATTGCATGAATTGCCCTTCTGAAGATTAATCTAATCCAGCTGTGATCACTACAAGATGCCTCAGAGGAAGATATCTGAAACCAGCAATGCACAGATACGATAAATTTGCCTTCAACACTAGATCAGCAGTTCAAAACTGGGCTAAGTCTAAAATCAAAAGGATAATATCACTGACTTTCTTTGCTACTATAATCGATTACAAGAAGTAAGAATAACAAGAATACATTGAAGACATTCTATCCTTTCTCAAATTTTTGTTATGTTCACAGCTATAATGATTTTTGCTGGCACAAGTACCACAATTCAGCTCCAATCTGTGGTATATGAAGAGGTCTTCTTTTGAACAAACTCTGATGCACACTTAGTTTTTCTCATTTCTTTATACATTCGTTTATTATAGTGACTGGGAGAGCAGATTATTAAAATCTAATTTTTTTTAATTCACTTAC